AGACTGATTTGACTGAGTCAAGCCGGGCACACACAGATGATGACCTCGCCTCCAAACGAGAAAATTGGCCATCCGATGTTTAAATCACTTCCATGATCAGGCCAGCAAGCATTGTTAGATGCGTGAACGATATCCAGTTATTTATACCAACCAATCAGTAGAACGTAGCATCAAAGTCCCACTAAAGGTACCAAAAGAAGCATTGCATCTTATCGAAAACCCTCTTGGTGACTCATATACATAAATAAAAATGCGGGGAAATCAGCACACAGGAAAAGTCTGTTCAGGCTTTATTGGTCGCCGTTTACAAAAGAAAAATACTCGTGTTGTAATTAATTGTAATCGTAGTATTAGTATTTCGAGATGACCGAATTACAAGAATCCAACCAAAACACAGAGAGGGCGGAATTCAGGAATTTGTATTTAGCGGAATTATTATTCAATTCATATAAGAAACATATTAACAATCAACATTAAGTATTTAAACAATACAGAGATAGAAATAGTCAATCACCACATCCGCCACACGTCGAATGTCTTCTTGCATATTTATACTGATATCGCGGTTTGCTTGCCAGTCTCTGCGATCTTTGAACTGATTCTGTGATATTATTTCCATCAATATCATCTAGACTTATTTCTGAATTATCTACAAAATCAGAATCAGTAACGGAATCATTACAATTATAATCGGAACGACCTACTTCATTTATTCTCACTTGATCTAAGTGTTTGTTATGAACTGAATTGTCTTCGATGTCAAATATCTTCACCATTCGATTTCCTATTCTTTGTAGTATGATACCAATAGAAGGTCTATAGTCATTCCCTCTGTAATAATGTACATAAGAAGTCGTGGACATCAGATGCTTTTTGAGAATTCGAGATGTGAAAGGTTTTGCAGGACTTTCACGGGTACTTGTATGCTCCGCATTGCGATATTGAAGTAAGAAGTTATCCACACATCTCTCTAGCTCATCAAAATTCTTAGGACTCATTGATGCTATAGCACTCTTTAATGTTCGTACAAAATTTTCTGCCAACCCGTTTGACTGAGGATGACGTGGTGCTGTGTACAAATGACGACTACCTATGTGTTTATTTAATTTTTATTTTTGATTTACAGCTTGATTCCACACTGTATTTTCGGTACAAGTATGGAATTTTCAGCATGGATATCGGTAGCCCAAATTTTGCAGGCCGAGCATAGATATCAGATGTGCGTCAGTGCGGGCTCGAACTCCGGACCATGTGCATGGTCGGCGAGAGTCCTAACCACTGTGCCACCGACGCACAATCATTGAAGTTCTTCTCCGTAAAATGAGTACCATTGTCAGTAACTAAGACATCTGGAATTCCTTCTCGACTAAAAATCTTTCTCAACGCTCTGTGAGTGAATTTGGCATTAGGACTATCTGTAATGATGACTTCTGGCCATCTAGAATAAGAATCCACAATAACTAAAGCATAATATGAATTTAAGAATGGACCACAGTAATCTGCATGAATACGCTGCCAAACCTCACAAGATGCAGGCCACGGTGTCCACGATGACTTCCCATAGGACATTTTATGTAAACAGCTAGAACAGCTCTTTGATCTTTTGTTAATGTCAGCATCAATTTCCGGCCACCAGCATGTTAGGCGTGCTAATGATTTCATCTTATCAGCTCCTAGATGAGCAGAATGTAGATCATCCAAAATCGCAGATCTTAATGTTGGAGGAATAATAATTCTGTCATTCAGACATAGAAATCCTTCAGGATGGACTGAAATCTCATCTCTTCGCTTATAAAAGTCTGGAAATCTTCGCTTACACTGAACATTCCAACCTCTTTTTGTTGCATTTATAACGCATCCGTAATATTTCCGAGTATCATTTATAAGTCGAACTCGATCCACCGGTAACGGCTGGACTAATAAGCAATCAGTATCATTAGCAGCATTTTCAAATAATGAATAACGAGATAAGAAGTCTGCATGAGGTATATCCTTTGCCGATCTATGTTCAATAGTGTAATCATATGCACTTAGTTCTAAACTCCATCTTTGAACCATAGCAGCAGATGATTTATTCAAAGATTTTTCTGGATTGTAAATGAATTTCAAAGCTTGATGATCAGTAACTATGTGAAACTTAGTACCAAAGAGATACTTGTGCAAGCGTCTTATTGCCCATACAACTGCTAAAGCTTCTTTCTGGGTTTGTGAGTACCCTTGTTCACTCTTACTTAGACGTCTTGAAATACAAATAACAGGTTGTCCATTTTGCTCAAGTACTGCAGCTATACCCATAGGAGAAGCATCTGTAGTGAGAACAGACTTATCTTTCGATGAAAAAGGTCTTAGAAAGCTTGTTTATTAAGAAACTCCAAAGTTTTTCGCAAGATATTCTCATGTTGTTGTTCCCACTTAAACTGTTTACTGGAGACAATCTCAAAAAGTGGAGATAACCGTTGAGTGAAGTTGGGAATGAATCTGGAGTAAAACTGAAGAGTACCTATCCATGATCTCAACGATGACATATTATTAGGTGACGGTGCTTGAATTAGAGGTGCCAAACGACTAGCATCAGGTCTGAAACCTTCGGAGTCTACTGTGTATCCCAAGCATGATACAGACGACAAAGTGAAATGACATTTAGATGGATTAACAAGAACATTATTCTCACATAAACGCCTGAACAGTTTTAAAAGACGTTCATTATGCAATTCGATATTAGGACCATGAACTATAATGTCGTCTTGGTATGACTCAACACCATCTAATCCATCTATCATCTGATTTATTACATTTTGAAATATTGCGGGTGAAACCTTTAAACCAAAAGGCAAGAACTTATACTTGAACAATCCAAATGGAGTATTAATGGTTGTTAATGCACTAGACGCCTCATCAAGAGGAATTTGCAAATAGGCATCTTTTAGATCTATTTTGGAAAAGTATCTTGAGCCATGTAGCTTGTAGAGAATGTCTTCAGTTTCTAGAGTAGTGCAACTTTGCTGTAGTAGACGACTAATGAGTGTTTTAGGTGTTTTTCCATCAGCCTTTAGTGGCGTAACAATAGGAGTAGCCCAATTTGAAGACTCAACTGGCATAAGTATGCCTTGCTCAACCAACTTGTCTAACTCTTTCTTAACTGCATCTCGCAATCCATATGGAATTAATCGGCGTTTCAGGAAGATAGGATCACCCTCTATTTCAAGATGGATGGGCTGAATCTTCATACCACCTACACTCTTTGAACATTGGAGAAGTAATTCTCTGAACAAAGATTCATCAAACAACTCAGTACAAAGTGAGATTTCGACATTTAACAATCTAAGGGCTTTTAATCCCAATAAAGATGGACCATATTCACTAACAAGAAAGGGAATATTTACAAAATTACCACTGTCTGATTTCAAAGAAATGTTAGTAGCACCGATAAGAGGTAATTTATGACCAGTTATGCCTGTAATTGAACTAGTAGTAGGGTCTATCTGGACATTCTTACAAATCGATTGTAAATCTTTCTTAGAAATTATAGATTCAGTACTCCCAGTATCAATTATAAAACAATGGGACTTGCCTGAACTTGTAGTGAAGGTTCTCATTAGATGAGATTGAGTATTGGGAAAAGTTGAAAGAGACATCGACTGCATTTTACCAGATAAATTGGAAGAATTATCAGGATTCTGAGTAACATAAGTATTCGAACTTCTGCAAACAGTCTTGATGTGTCCAACTTTACCACATTTGTGACACTTAGCACCCCGAAAACGGCAAGTGCTTCGTAGATGTAACTTTCCACAGGATAAACACGGTTTAATGTTTTTGATCTCTCGCTGCATTCTATTACCTGTGGACGACAGTTTGGATTGCTTTCCATGAACACTTGTATTTTCGACTTTGGACAACATGACATCAGATACTGACGTAGTGGGAGCAGAGTATTCACTGTTGACATCTTCATATGTAATACATAAATCTTTAGCAGTTTGAAAGGTACAAGAAGGAATCTGAATTAACTCTTTCTCTAACTTAGGAATATTGATTCCAGCAATTAGACGATCACGTAGTTGAGTATGCAGCTGATCTCCAAAGTTACACTTTGAGGCTTGAATTTGAAGTTGAAGAATAATCTCACGAACCAGTTTATGGAATTGAGCCCTCTCTCTGGTCTCAAAAGTAGTTACATGAAAGTGATTTATCAGAAGTTTTGAATCTTGACATATGACAGAGAAATGGGTTTATCTGGAAACGCCAGGTTCTTCACTAGGCTATATGCATCTAGCCCAATAGCAGTGATGAAATGTGCTGGTATTTTGTCATCCCGAACATTCTTTGAAATGCACCACGCATCGAAGCATTCAAGGTAATCAGCAATCTCCCGCGGAGAACCATTTATAGGAAAATTTCCCAGGTTATTTAGTTCCATCGCGACGCCAATTTGTAGTATTTATTGTAATCGTAGTATTAGTATTTCGAGATGACCGAATTACAAGAATCCAACCAAAACACAGAGAGGGCGGAATTCAGGAATTTGTATTTAGCGGAATTATTATTCAATTCATATAAGAAACATATTAACAATCAACATTAGGTATTTAAACAATACAGAGATAGAAATAGTCAATCACCACAGCTCGTTTCAAGACGACCTTGTGTTATGTGACTTTTCAGCAGTGTACAGAAGTACTTTCCGATGGCAGTGGCTGGCAGTGAAAATGCATTCCGAGAACTGGCAGAATTTATAATCCATAAGCGACTGGTTTCCCTCCAGGTGGCTGGAAGATAAACAGCCTCGCCTAGCAACCCACTAATCGTGAATTTAATCCCCAAAGGGATAGTGGAGGGATTAATGCTGAAGAGTCACAGATTAGGATGAAATGGCTCTCCAGTACCGCCAGCTAGATTTTCCAGTGGTTGGTTATCTAAATAATTTTATTTCACGATCGTGCTTGAAATTTAATCAATAATAATAACAATAATAATAATGGGTATTATTTTTCTTTCAGGATGTTTTATCCAAACTACAATTAGTTTTCATGGAGAACAGAGAGTTTCAAGTGTTATGCGGCAATGTCAAGCATTTCCTTGACAGTCTAAACAGTGACCTCAAAGGTATCAGTAAAGGCGATCAGATCTCAGGTCTGCCAGAGGCTGACTTGAGCACATTAACTGTAAGTTGTTCTTTGTCTTTTAAATGAATTTAGGCAAAATGAAAAGAAGGAAAATTCTGATTGAAATTTTAAACTTAAATGGCAATTGTTACCATTTTAATTAATCAGTCACTAGAAGGTAACTAACTATGAGGTAACCGAGTAACAAATTTACTGGGGATTTCATCTAATCAACTAGTTGGGAATTCGGGCGGTTTACTGTCACTCGCTCACCATAGTTCAATACACAAATATCATCTGCACACTACTGAGGCGTTTTCCTCAAACATACACAATGAAATATATCGAGTTTTGAAATAGAGAATCGTATACTCCAGCTTCTCAACAGATGTACTTCATATTAATGGAATATAAAGATGATGTTGAGTTCAGCTCAGGTTGAACATGTGAATTTGGAAACATATGAGTAGAACTGTTGAAAACCCTGAAATCAAATTCCATGCATATCATTCACTAAAACGCTGCATTCAACTCAATGAGCAATAGTGTCAATAGAATAAATAGATTAACAAAATATGAAATGTATTGTATAACCATAGGAAACAACAAACATTTGAATGTTTGGTTTGGTGAGGAACTGAAAACCTTTATAGTACATTTTGTACCTACCTATATCTGTCACAGAGTCATGAAGAAATAGGTAATCATCTTGTCCTAGTTTGATACACTCATTTGTGTGAATTCATGATCCATTCTGGGACAGTATTCTGTACCTTCAGTTTACGAGACAGGTTGAGTTCTAATAGTTTATCCACTCGAACTTCTGTCAGTCTTCAATTTAGCCTCACCATTATCTGATGTCATTGGTGAAGATATGAACTAACTGGAGTTGAGATGAATTTTCTTAAGTTTAAATAAAATGTCTTGATCAACGGAATTTATTAATTGGACGGTGAGAACAGCTTCTCACTCAGACACTCACATTGTATTTTAATATAACCCCAATATAAATTAATGCCTTTCTAATATTGTAGAAACATATTCCTCAATTATTTAATACTCTTTGTCGTTTCACTTCATTCAATTTGTATCCACTCCCATTTCCTTTTCACAATTAAGTCTGTCCATAGAACTACAGGTTCTACCCTCGTTTATGATTGTCCATATAAGGTTCAGTGACAGAAAACTAGTCAACCAACCTCATGGTCCGGGTTCAACCAGGCCTCCGATGCACTAATGAATCTCGTATAGCCGGTAGTAAGTTTGGGAGATAGGGAATAATGGGTATGAGAATGACAACTCCTCACCAAGCATAAAATACAGGAACACACCAAAACTACTGTAACTTCCGAAAAGGGCTTGAAGCCCAATAATCCGCTTAGACTGCAGAGGTATGAGAAATATGTTGAGCGAAACACATGTATACCATTCTATCCATACACTTTTCAGCGACCACTAAGTATAGTACCACACTCATAGTTAAGCGAAATTTTCTTCCTTCATGTTCCCAGTGGAACACAGGGCCTCAAGCTAGTGGCTTGAAATTTCTGTGGCAGTGTTTTTGTTTTTACAGGATGGGGTCGCTAGCCTCATGCCCAACCTTTCCTCTTTACCAGCATTATTTCTGCATTAGCGAGGTAAAGGAGCGCGTCAGTGGCCAAGGATCGAACCCCGGACCATGTGCATGGTTGGCGAGCGTCCTAGCCGCTGTGCCATTTAATTAGAAACCATGTGGGAAAGTTTAGTTACAACAGATGTATTCATAGTAAAACTGATTGACGGAGTATGCAGGTCTCTTAAATGCCGCGAAAATATGTTCCATTTTCTCATAGGGGCGTTGTTAATGTCATATGCGACCAGATTCTAGGCATGAAATCATTTTGAAAGGTCAACGGTTCTGATTGGCTGCTCAAGGCCATGTTTAGTTGAATTTTGAGTGTAGTGTATATTCTTCACAAATGATAGCTCAACTTTCTTTCATAGTTTTTAATCTTCTGGTAGAAATGTTCTTCATAACAAAATAAGCAAACACATTTTGTAGTGATTACATTTGTCTTTTAAAACAAAATGGTATTTCTAGTCTATGCGTGAAAAATTACGTTCATCTCAACCGAAGCTGTTAGAGTTAAGCGACAGGGCTGACAGAATTTGTCGGGCATCTTCAACTGCTGCACTAACAATGAATCAAATGTTCATACTGCATACTGGTTATTTCGACGCTATAGACACTGCTAATGTCAGTTCACCAGTACCAATGGTAAATTTCAATCAAACGTCAGGTATTCAACATGGATTTGATAATTATAATAATACTGAGACTGTCGGTTCAAAAGCCAGACGACAGTTGAATGAATTTAGAAAAGAGTTTAGTGAAATTAGTCAGAAAATAACTGAGGTAAGTACATATTTGGTTGTAATTTTATACACACATAACACAATGTTTTTATGGTTTATGGAACTTCATCCACACTCACGAATAAATGGATCTCATAGGTCAATATTTCTCACTAAAAATCCAAGAAACTCCGTCCTGTAGCACGTCACTAGCGTGCATTAGATTAATTTTCAAAGCGGTTGTAAAGAAACTACGAAATGATATCATCTCGCGAAATTTGTCTTCTTAATACCCTATTCAAATTTGTCAAAGGGACTAAGTGTTTTAATTTTCAAGAGTCGATTTGTAAGAATTTGATTTGTTTTTCAAGTTAGAACATTTATTGATATCAGTTAGAGAACCATTTAAAACCAAGTTGTACTGGACAGGTGTTTCATCCTCTTGGAAATAATTTTCTCCCTCTTCCAGTACTGGAATTTAAACCACTGTTACCAGTATCTACCATGAGTGTGCAATTCCAGTTAGACAACAATTTATACCCCCAAATAAACAGTGTGGCTATAGGCAACCCATTTTACCCTCTATTAGCAAACATCTTCGTGTCTAACCTACAGTGTTAAGTCACTGAGACAACTTACTGTCAGTATGTCGACGGCATATTCGTAGCAACAGTGAGTCATCCATCCTATCTACTTGGACTATCCAATCATACACATGAAAGTAATGAGAAGTTTCATTTTCGTGAAATTTTCATGCAACTCATGGAGAATGGTAGTCTTCAGAGATCAATCCATAAAAAGTCTACGTGGAATTGACCATATTTACATTTCAACAGTTTTGTCCAATTAACTATAAACAGACGTTGGTTACTACTCTGTTTTGCAAAGCCAAGGAAACATGCTCTACAAAGAAATTACAGGGAGAACTTCTGAGTGTCGAAAAAACGTTTAAAAACAATGGTTAACCCCAGAAATTTATTAACAAGTACTTAAGATGTTAAGTCTGAAATGTCAATCAAATCACAGAGGGAAAAAAGCTTATCTTCCTTCATTCAGTAATATTTTAAAGGTGGTAGTATTACATGAATAGCCAATAGAAAATTGAATTGGTTACAGGATTTCATCATGAGCTGACATCAGTTGATTAAATTGAATGCTTTACTCCTTCTTTCATTTGGTTTGGTGATCTTTAGCTTTGACCTCTCTCTTCTCTACAATATAGTTTTGCTTGTTTCTATGTTTTTATGTGACCACATTGTTATGTACTCGTCGCCAATAAGTTACGGGTTGTTGCCATTATTATGGTGAGACCGAGTGTAAATATACGCTAATGAGACATAACGGACGATAACGTACAGACTGGTAATGCTGAATACTTAATTTGTCCTGACGCGAAATAGGCAAATCAGAAGACCACCACGTTCACTAAGATATGTGTATTTTCCAACATGGAAAATTAACAATCACACAAGAGTGTCAGCAGAAAAGTACTAAAGAGTACGAAAGGTGTGAAAGTGTGAAATAACTGTACAATACAAGAGTATATTTGAAAATGACTTATATACACAAACCAATAAGACAGACAGTAGTTTTTCTTACCACCATTGGATTCTGATTGGTTGTAATGTCATGTGACAAAAACGTCAAACATTGTTTATTTAGTTAATGGACAGACAAAGCATATTGTGAGTTATAATGGAATATTGATCAATATACACATGGCAAAATATATCACACTGTCAAAAACAAAGTAGGCATCATGTGACTACATATCATACATGTACATGAATATTGGTGAACGCAAGAGAATGCGACACTATCCTTCGGACGATATTACGATTTCGAGGATGATATAAATCTCGCTTTCTGAATGAAAATTAGTTTAACATCATGGTAATCATCCATGAATGGGTTCGTGGGGCCTTTTGTTTGACACTTCTGTACTGTTTTGTGAATTTGCGAGGATAGCTATTATGTAATAACATTGTAATTCTTCATCATTGATATTCTTTTTACATATGTGTTAAACACGCGTGAAGAAGTAGCACTTAACTAACACTTTTTATTTCTGTGATGGATTGAAACGATGATAATTTAGATATTGTCCTATCCAGTAGACAGATCGACTTGTTGATCTATCCTGTCTACGAGTTATAAGTACAGATGCAACAGTAATAAGGAGCATATAAGAAAGGAGTATAACAACTATAACTACACTTGTTGTACATAAATTATGAGGATACTTCAACATTTATTTTACTCCTGTTTTCATTTTTTATTTGCTGGTGAAAACTCATTTCACCAACAAGAACCAAGAGAAACTAAGTCACTTGGTGAATGAACAGAAAAATCTAACCGAATTGTATAATGATTTACGTGGATGGACCGAAAAAGCAGAGAAGAGGTTAACAGTTCTCCAGTCGGGAAAATTATTGCATCCAACTGAAGGCAACGAGGAACGATTTCAAGCTTTTTCAAACCTTGGCTCTATTAAACTGAGTGATAATCAATGGAATGTATATGTTCAACAAGTCAAGGTAAGAGTATGCAAATAATTGTATTTTAATCCTAATAATATTATTATTATTCCCGTTGATTCCTGATGAAACAAAGCACATCACATATCTATTTCCCTCTGTTATCTGAGATGTTTTCAAACTAACTCTAAAACTGTTCATAAACATTCACTTTACCCTGACGCAACATCCTGTATGTTACACTCAGTTCCATACCTAATTCGTCGTTTGTCATTTAGGTTTCCCTCGACAGCCTGTCTGGTATGTAATACCATCTGAATGTCTCCTCAGAGTACGTCAAACCCATCCATCTTCCTTGTCTTCTGCTTATGTTTTGGACAATAGGCTCTTGATTGGTTCGTTTCTAGAGTTCCTTCCGGTCTTCACTGTCGGCACGGGGATGGCAGATATTGATGAGCGTCTGCAGTGGGCTGTCAGAAGTGCTTTTTGTTAAACGCTAAGTTCTAGAACTGTGTAGAAGCACTGAATGATTTAACATTAGTGTTGGAAATACGAATCTTGTTCTTTACACTGAATGCAGTAGATTTCCAAACTGATATCAAAGTGATGAAGGTCTTCGATGCCAAGACTTGATATCTACCTCTGTAGATGAAATGATACTACCCAGGTAAGTAAAAGAGGTGACTTCCCTTAGACTATTACCGTTGACGGCAATTGATGCTTGCTGTTTTGACCGATGGGCATCATCTACTTCTCTTTTATCTCTATATTAATTTGAACTCCTGTCTTTGCTGATTCCTTTGCAAATGCTTGATGTGAGTGACATCTAACTACTCATATCAGACAGTCAGTAGTATATGAAATCATGTATTGATTCCCGCCCTCTTGATTATAATTTGTAGTATCAAGATAAGATCACATATCAAGAGACCTGAATAGTTTCGGTTTCCAGTGGAAACTTTGATAAAATGTTGCCTGGAATTGCACAATTCACCTAACGAATGACTGAATTCTTTCAGTCAAGTCTTATCACTATGTCACCAGTCTATGAGCCCTGTCATCACAGTAGACTTTTTGAATTAATAACAGACATTTGAAGGTGATCCGTAAAACAATGACTATCCTACTGTATATCCTTCCGCATCGAAAGTATTCTTAAAATGTTAAAACCTTCTCTGTGTGAGAGTGTGTGTATGTTGTCATAATTCCGCCTTATTGTTTCTGTTTACAAATTGTTTCTCACAGGCATTACACAAAGAGCTTAATGAATATACACCAAAGTACGAACATTTTTGTGACACATTACCCAATACATCAACGTTCAATGGTCAAACCAGTAAATTTAATCAGTTAACAGAAAGATTTGCTAAATTGAAAGAACAAGTTCAAGTAAGTGTTCAATATACATAAATAGGCTATGGTTACCAAATAACCATACTCGATATTGATTTGTATTTAGCTTTTCTGAGGAAACATAAACATTTAGCTGGGAACTAAAGGTTACGTGGGTGACGCGGGTTCGAATCTCAGAAAGGACATGAGTTCCTTCAAGGTTGCAGATACGCCTTGCTGATGAGAGCCAACTAGCACGAAACCTAGATCCAAGGCTTCCTGCCGACTGCCTCCAACCATCTAACTAAAGGTTTTCTCGTGGATATTTATTCATTGGTTCAATGTGAACAGTGTTCATTCTGTAGTAGAAATTGTCAAAGGGCGTCCAAATGGTAACATTATCAATTCTGCAACCAAATATCGCGATATTCTCCGAATACATTTGGTGTTGCTGCCGTCCGCCAAATGAAGATGCCATGGTCTGCAACTTTTAAACGTGAGGCCATTCAGAGTTCCTTGGAGTATCTCGAAGCCAATGCTGCACTGGTGGTCTTTCAAGACCCTATTCAGAAGACGGTTTTTCTGTGGACGCTGTTGAGAGGTTAGGTGCAGGATGTCTACTACAGTTCGCGTGGAACTGGTGCAAAGACGTCGTAGGAGAAGGTATCCTGGTTAACAGATTCAGAAGACTACAGTCTGGTGCAGATAGAGACCCAATGATTTCCTCAGTAACACTGACAGGCCTTCTGCGATGTGCGTTCCCAACTCCAGACGAACACTGAAAACATCAGCTGGTAGCTTCCCGGTTTATGGAATTTGTCCCTACTGTTAGTTGAAACCAACTGCAATCAATGAATCCAGCCTGACCTACGGGCATAAATGAGCTGGGGAAAATCCTCAGATATATAATGAGTAATAGAGTCCTAAACATGTGATCAACGAATGACAAGAAGTCTAACAGGCTTTTCAGTTTGTAACGTCAGTCATGTAGGTGAAACTGTTAGATCATTGGCAGTTCAGATATTGGAGACGAACACAGCAACCTGCGAATTCTATCATCTGTTAAGTCGTGATATGACACTACCGCCATCCAATGTTTTCGCACGTGACTTAATGGGCCTTTTCCGATGGGTAATTTTCGCTGATATAGGATCAGGTTGGAAAAGAGCTATTGGTGGTCAGACCGAAACATGGTCCCATCCGTTACTGAAATCAACAACAGTTAGTTTAAGCCACGTCGGAATATGTAAACTGCCCGGTTGGGTCCTCAGGCTGGTGAAAACCAATGGCTGGAAACAACTGTTGATATGGCTCAAAATCGTTGTCAGTGGCTGGTGCAGATGTATTCACTCTTTGTGATTTATTACATCCCATAAAACACCATTGTTTTTTCCATAGTATTATTCTTTTTCCCTCACACCTGTGTTTGTTATCTATCTTTTGAACCTCGCTTTACTCTCTTTTTCGTGTGCTACTAGGAGGAAAAGAGGCAACTCGAACTGCTGCACCTCTGTGCAAAGTGCTATGCATAGTCAGTAATGGGCAGCATTGGTTACGCCGTTTCAGTAGAATCCCAGGAAGCCTATACCGTAGTCAGTCGCTTTTCTGAGTAATGAATAAACTTTCAAGTGTTAAGTTGTGGGTATTTGATTGACCCATGACCTCCCCATGTAAACGTAAGGCGCCAGGTTTCATCCTTGGAAGTACTAGACAGCTATCATATCCACATCTCAGACGTTTCAACAGCATGCACTCATGACCCTGGTAAATAAAGAATTCAGGATACTCGAGTTACGAAGAGAACTTGTCGACGACCATGTAGGGACCTTGTTTTATTCCTGATAAGAGTCACGGGTAACAAATGTAGAACACTTGGGGATCCGTCAGAACAAATCAGCCGCAAAAATATATGAGGCAAGATAAAACAGTTTCATTTTATCTCATTGGTACTTCGCCAACTGCTCGCCATCTGAGTAATGGAAAGTATTAGTTATATCATTACAGTTTTAACGAGCAAACTTTAGTTCTTTGGGAAAATAAATATCGAACAATAATTTGGAATGATTAAAGTTTGTCAAACAAAATAAAAAGTGGGGAACAGGTGTAGCAACAAGATATTGAGCGACATAAATTATAGAATTACGCTAGTCACCCCAAAATTTTTAATCAGCTAATGCATTATGAAAATACACGTATTGTGAGTGAAGCTCATTTGTTTAGATATAGGATATATGAAGCCTGCTATTTAATAAATCATGACGTAACTAAGTTAGCTAGCGTAAAACGAAATCAAGATTTACATTGAATTAAACGTTATACAATCAGTTATAGGTTTAAGGTTGATTTTTGCGGGTAGAGGAAGACTTCCTACAGCTTTTCTTGAATACATAAATAGGGTTTTAAAATTTGTTAGCATTGACATCGGTGGACTTGAAGAGGTTTGGTTTGCTTGTCTGTTTATCAATTTTGAAAAAATTCAAGTTGTTTGTACCTGAAGTGCAGTGTCAGTCAGATGTCTAGTAACTGCGCTGCTCAACGATTCACTTCGTCTGAAACGTAGCCTTTCCGGTATGTGTTCGAGAAACTCCGCAGTGTAATAAAAGGTAGTGCTTGAAATAAAACCGTTATTGTTCTTATTTTTATTATGATAGATCCTGCTTTTCATTCTTCTTTCAATGTATCAACTTCCGCAGCTCTTAGTAAATTGTCATATACACAGTTGAAGCCGATGAAAGGGAAGGGTGTTTGTCAACGTTATCCGTGCATTAAAGAATAGGATATTTGGTACCAAGGGAGTCAATCTATCCACAGGAATGTATACACTTCATAGGTTTATTCACTTGTTAACAAGTTGAATAACCATCCATGTCAACAGAGACCGCCTTTTTCGGTCAAACATAATCAGTTAACGAGAAATGCAGAATAACCCGAATTAACGTAATATCTGATGCGTGTTTCAAAAGATGTGCTTTTTGTGACGCAGTACCTTAATGGATAGCGCTAACACGTTCGAAATGATGAGTACAGGGTTTAAGTTCCAGTAGGAAAGCCATCACTCCCCAGGATTATATGCAGATTATGAATTTCAAAGAGGAGGAAACACCCATTCTGGATTTCACTGGTACCTGCTATCTTTCAAAATGTTTGAAAACCTTGTGAAGACATTAATATTAATATTATTATTCGTCTCTTGGGTTCCTAGTCAAATAATTCGCCATTTCGTTGTCTTCTCTGTAGACTTTTTGAAGTGCTTTCATGATTGGCTATAAGATTCCACTTCTACCTAACATGGTCCTCTCTAAACCACCCTCGAACTCACACCCATCTTGTCGTCTCTAACCTGGATTTCACTCGAAGGCTTCCCTGCTTTACAATGTCACTTGAATGTCTACACGGTGTCCAATCCATGCATCTTCTCTTAATTCTGCATATTTTTCGGTTGAGTAATATGTTGTTAGGTGACTCACTGTACTGTCAAAGTCCCATATTACTCTTTTGTTATCTTCCTAGTTACCTTTCTGATTAGCCAGTTGATCTTCAGTACCAAGGCTGTGAAGGTGGTAGCTGTTGATGAAAGTGTGAACTAACTTATTGGAAATGCTTTTATCGACACACGCTTCTAGTTTCTGAACCATACGGAGGCCCTGACTTGATCTTAGGGCTAAAAATTCGGATTTCGCTCTTTGTGTTAAGTGGTCTTGATCTGCACACTGACATTTAGATTAATGAATTCCTATCATACTTTCGCAACGTGATTCTGTTTGGCTGAGATCCTCATCCCTGTCCGCAGCTTGTTGGTGAAACGATGCTGCTTATATGAGGCAGGTGAAAGAGACGACTTTCTTTCGATTTCTCCTATTACGATGAAAGCGACTGGGGGCATATTGTGCTTGTTGTTATTGTCGGTTGGATAATTTCAACTCACGCTGTGTTGTTTGTCTCTATTATGTTTTCCAATTTTTAGCAATGCGCAGAGTGGGTCAATGTTATACAGCAAAATTTGTCAGTATTTCGTGATTCAGCACAAGCTACTGAACGCTGGATGAGTAGTATTAACTTTCGTTTAATGTCAGCTGGAAACAATAATATTACTGGTAATAACAATGCGAACTTAACAGGGAATTTATCCATCTATCAGGACGCTTCAACACAAATTGACCAGTTAATTAGAGAAATTGATATAGAAGGGAAAAATCTTTTAGAAAACACACATCAATCAGTTCATCTGTTGATACATACAATATCAAAAGATCAAATGACGAAAATGAACAATAGAATATGTGATTCTGTTGCTACCTGCCCTTATCGACAAATTCCTATCGATCAAGGCGTAATTGATAACTGGAAGTATTTGGTGAATAACAGTAACAGCGCAAGCGGGGAACAAGGCCTACTGGAGAGAATTGCTTTAGAAGTATTAGAAAGAACTAAAGAAATAGAAACAAGTTATGTGAATATTCATACAAATGCTCAATCGATAAAGGTTGGTCAGCAGTTCCTATACTTATTTTATCTCACTGAACACATTGAAACATTTTTTCATGTAGAACATAGTGCTTCAGCCACATATCTTCACTGTAGCTTATTTTCTGTTACTACTTTCAGTTGTCTCCGAGACTTCCCCCTGCTAGCTGTCACTGCATCATATTCCTATAATTTCCTTCACACTAAACCCGGATACCCATCCGTCTCCACCTGTTTGCCTGAAGTACTTCCAAGCATATATGTCCAATCCACACATCTCCAGTGACTTCTGTATACTTGTTATTTGAACATTAGGTTTCTACGCTAGTATACTGCCCTGCCAGAGCGCCTTGTTGTTTATCCTTTCTGGATGACTATTTGATCGTGAGTACCAAGGCAGAGAAGAGGTAGGTGTCAATGAAATTGTACAGCAGCATTTTGAAAATGCTCTTTGTGAACTACTGAGTCTGTGAACCATGTGTAAGCGCTCAGTGATTTGATATACGAGCCAAAAATCTGGATTTTCTTCCCTGTATTGACTACTGTTGATCTTTGCATCTGTTTTGCTTTCCTCATCCTGTCTAGCTTTAATATCTACATCCTGAGAGGTAAACTATTTCAAACGAAATCATTTTCTGAAGTTAACTAAACTAAGTTATATCATGTACTCAGATATCATGGTTAAAGAACCACTAGGTGGTACTGAACATCCATTTCATCCTAGTTTCAAACCCTTCAGCAGTACGCGACAACTATTCCACAAAGGGGGGAACCTAAAACCTTCAGGTCATGAGGCGAATGCATTGGCCACTTAGACATTCGAACGGAATCCAATAGTCTATGGATAAATTCTCAGTTTTGTTCATGTGTTTCATACGTAGCACCACTATCACGCTATCTGTGAGTATTTCTCTTCAGTAATGTGTAATTAATTGCTCTGTTATAAATAATAGAAATGGGATACAAAATTTTTCATGCATAACCCAGCATATATATATATATACATATATTTGTAATAGTGTGGCTGAACTGTGTTACACATCACTATAACGGTTATCCTTCATATTGTCCCCAAAAATTATTATTATTGATTCTCTCTAAAAATATAGAATCGATTGGATGACCGTTTGAATCGTTTCAAATCATACATCGATGCTCTGAATTCTACTGCCACCTTTATTCTAAATGATTTACAATCCTGGTGGAGACGATTGAGTCTGATTAGTCAGTCGTCGTCAGCAGTAGCAGTGACTACAGCTGTATCCTCATCAGCAGCGGCAGTGATGGGTATTCCAACAGTGAATCAGTTCCTCTCAGCGTCAGCAACAACTGATGTCAAAGGATATACAGCATATACAAATAAAAATTTTATCAATTATCAGATAGATCGACTGAAACAATTAGCCACTGCTGATAAGTCGCCAGCTAAAGCAGTTAGTCTTGAGGATGTCGGTCATCAATTGGCTATGACATTAGCTATGCAATCTCAGTTGATTACAATGAAAAGAGAATTATCTGCACTGGCTTACAAGTAAGTTTGAGCGCATTATTATTTAATTTGTTACATTCGAAACGGAGCAAAAAGCCCCTTCGTACTCAATTCATTGCCATTCTTTTTATTTGGCTCATTGAGTGTCACTTCATTTTCATGACATGACCTGTTCAGTTTCAACCTCGAACTTATGCTCAAAACATTGCTTGTCATTCAAGTGCTTACTGGGGGCTGGTATGGCGTGTGATGTCTCTTAAATTTCTCCTCAATATATTTTTTGGTCATTTTGCTACCAGAGTGCACTGTCGTTCACTCATCCTTTCCGGTTAGTCATCAGGATTGAAGGAACCTGAACAAATTATGTAGAGCAAACACCTCTGTGAGTTCCTGGTCCACTATCTGACAATTTGCTGTATTCTTTTAGGCAAATGATATAAATTCTAGCAGATATCATTTGACAAGGAGTGATGAAGATATCTAGTCAACAACAGTAAATACCAATCACCAACAAAGTGCGAAATCTAAAGTATACCGTCTCTTTCACTTACCTGGACAGCAGCAGATTTTACACTATTGGTGGCTGCACAGACAAGGATGTCAAAGTCAGATGGGGTTGCTTCAGGAAATCAGTACAAAGATAAACAGCACTCGGTGGAAGGAAAAAAAATTCGAACTCTTAATTCTTTTGTCAAGTCAGTAATTGTGTATGCCTCAGAGACAAGTGAGCCGACAAAAGTTACTGCAAATTTTCATAAATGACTGTCACTTTTCTTGGCTTGATGCTGGTCAGAAAAGATAAGGAAGCAATAAAAAACTATAATACTTAATCCATAAATATGAAGAAGGGAATGAAGACGGATTGAGCATACAGAGAGTAGAGTTTTACTTGACCTCATGCACTTAGCAGTGGAACCCGAATTAGAGGTGACCAGTTTCGTGTGGGCTCGATAGTTACATGGAAGAGATGAAATAAAAGATTTTAGAAAACCGTGGAGCCAGTTGAAAATGATAGCAAAAAACGGAGATATGCTTCTGAAGCCTTAATAACAGTAGCATTAACAATAATAATAATTTTTCTTTTGAACATTTTGTTTTACTCCCTAGGTGCGGTATGTCCTCAGTAGAAATTGATTTCATTTCACATGAAAGTGGTCGAAACACCAATGAAAATAGTAATCATCAAAGTAACAGTACTGATCAGACACTTGTAAAACTGTTAGCAAAACATGTACAAAATGCAATTGACTTAGAAAATAAAAAGGTATGTGATTGTGTTTCAATAACATTTGCTTTCTTTCAAAAATAATGTTAGCTTGTTTAATGGTTCTCCTTGTTTTTTCATAAAGTTGTCACAGTTCATGCTTTTGTGACCACTGAGCTGGATGGTAGTCTTATTACAAAGCTTTCATTGTCCTCCTCCTTCTTCTTCTCCTCTTAGACAACGTTGCTTCAGCTCCAAAACTCGTACAACTGTCTCTCCTGACGACCTTGTTTGTGATTAGTTGTTAATTTGCATCAGTATTTATTTTTTATCAGCTTGGAATTCGACTTTTTATTTATCGTATGACTTATCTCTTATCAGCTAATAAGTCTGCTCTATGATGTGTCTATGGATCACAGATTTATATGAGTATCAGACTTCTCGAAATTATCTGGCATATTTGGTGTTTTCACTGTTTAATATGTCTATTTTCTCCCAGTCAAATTGTTGTCTACAGCTGTCCACATGTATTGGATATGAAAATCAAGTTGTCAGACGAAACAGTGAGGACAGGACTTCATGTGTATAAAGAAAAGACAAAGAGGATGAAAATACTCAACCAAAAGTAACCAGCACTATTCCCAATAAAACGGCCGGCGTGTATATATGTGTATCTACTGGCTTTATATGTATAAATGAATAGACAGCATAAATTTGAAGGAAGTCTCCTCTATCACTTACCTGATTGGCTAGACAGCACTGTTTGAACTATGGTTGGCAAGCGTAGGGATTTCAAAGTTAACCATAATCGGATATACCTTCATTATTCTGAAATAAATGTGAAAAGCTACTGCTCTCAGGATGAGGAATAAGATTCGAATTTTCAATACTAAGGTCAAAATTAGTGCTTCTATACGGTTGAGTGACTTGGTGAATCACGAAACGCATTTCGAAAGTTCTGCGAACTCCCATCGAAAGCTGCATTCATTGACTCGACACCGAAGATCAGATAGGTGGTCAGACAGGATATTTCACAAGTAACTCTGAAAACTAACCAACCAACAGCCTATTACACAACAAATATACCGGAGGAAATGGAAATGGGTGATTTGGATATGCGCATATATGACTGTTGTGTAACATCCCACATTGAACTGGAGTTCAAATGGGAATTGACGACTGGTTATGGGATTTCATCATGAGATGACATTGATTAGAGAACCATTGGAAAACCTGGGAGTACTGGACAGCTGTTTCGTTCTAGTTCGAGGCCCTTCAGCAGTACGTACCCACCGATGTTCGAACCCAGGACCTTCTGGTTACAAGGCGAGCTCGTATACCATTAAGCCACTGAGAACCAATCCAATGGCCAATGAATTCTAACTTCTGTCAATTCACGATTGACGAGTTGGGTATGATTCTGAGGGTGACATTGAGGGGATACCGTGAAGATGAAATGAAAGCTTATGGACGGTCGTGCAGCCAGTAAAAATGGACTGAAGTGAACAGGGTGAGACGAGCATTCGCTGCTGAAGCCTACACATTTAAGGCTTTAATAATGTAACGGATGTGAAGGAATACATATTGTGTTTTTGACAGTCAGATGGGACGCATACTATGATCTTTTTATCACTTTTCACCAAGTATTTCGAGAATATTTTTGAGACAACTGATAGAATACTGAAATCAAGCATAACAGATATTTCACAGGATACACTACTCAGACTAGAATATGCAACATGAAAAAAAGACAGGATTAACATCTACGACATTTAATGCATCAGTTATGAAAAGCACTAAAGTAGTCACTATGATCATCCTTTTGAATTTCAAATCCGAGATGATTTATTAGTCATCAGAAGATACGATATTATGTCCCTTATTATTATTGTTTTGGATTACGATTTGAACAAAGGTTTGCGAATTGCATTGTAAAGTGCTGACACAGTTTCAGGTTCCTTCATGATCGATTCTGTCGAAGACTTCTTTAAAGTCGATGAAGTTGAGATCTAGAGTTAACTGCCATTCTATGTTGTTTTCAATAAATGATGCGTAGAATAGCGATTCGATCTATACACGATTTGTTTCACCTGAATTTGGCATATTCCCGACTGAATTTCGCATTTAGAGCATTTTTAGTCTCTTATTTAGAGGTAATGATATACTATATCCTTTATAAGGCCGGCAACAGAGCCTGTTTTTCTAAATACTTGGGAAGTAACTTTGTTTTATTTTTTTAATTTGATCAGCTTGAATGTCACGCTGAACAATTACGTGAAATGAGAACTAAATGGGAGCACTATGTTAAAGAACGTGATGTATTCAGTCGTTGGTTATCTGAACGTCAAACTGCCTGCCATCATTTGTTAGAATTACGATCAAGGTCTACACAACCTGAAGATGAAGAGAGGAGAGCACTTGAAGTAAGATTTTGTTAAATAGTTGCCGTTTTCCACTCCCCACACCGATGTGAAACATTTCAATCTTGAGGCTGTTACCAAGTGAAATTTTGTAGATGACGCTGAATATGTGTACTTAGATCCCCCCACCCATAAGGCAGCACCACTCTCCTCATCACATATGACATTTACATTCTTAGAACATTATTCTGCCGGAAGATACGTAACGGAAATTATCTGTTTTTGGTATACTGTCGAAGTTATTGATAAAACCGTGACTACGATTCAGTACGAGAAGGCAGTCAGTAGCTCGTCTGACGACCGAATACGAGATACGGATTTTCAGTCCCTTCTGATACCCAGCAATCTGCGCAAATACAGATAAGGAACAGACTCGTCTAAGTTGGTGAAAACAATAGATTCTTTATCATACAAAAGTGTAAAAGTATTCCGTAAGTCGGAAATTTAGGCCAGTAAATAATAATTTAATTGGTTTGAAAAGGTTGGACTTCAAGGATGTCCAACCAAATTTACATTGTCACTTTCCTCAACAGCCAGTTGTTTAAATCGGTCATAGCCTTTTCTGATTTAGCCTGTTAGCATAACTATTGAGGGATTCGTTAAAATCAGTACTGATAACCAAACAGAGTTGGAATAGAATTGAAAAATATTTGAAAATTAACCTAATGTTAATTATTTGCTGACTACAGGATGAAGTTAGAGTTTTAGTAAGAAAGTGTGGTCGGCTGGGATTCACCAGGTCGAGTATGAGAAAAGGTAGTCGCCAATGATATTGGCTAGAGATAGGGTTCCACACTGAGAAGTGACACGACGTAATATTCGTGGACCATTTGACTTCATCCCAATGACAGAATGGTCCGGAAGTCGTGAGTTGTTACTGTGCAACAGTTCTCAAGCTAAAAGGAAACAGCTGTTAACAGTTCCATAACTGAAGTCAGTACGTGATTTAACTTCAAATTGAGTATATTCGGTTAGTGATGAATTTAAAGAAGAACCATTGCGTCAGTGGCACAGTGGTTAGGACTCTCGCCGACCATACACATTGTCCGGGGTTCGATTCCCTGCCGACGCACACCTGATATCTATGGTCGGCCTGCAAAATTTGGGCTACCGATATCCATGCTGACAATTCCATGCTTGTACCAGAAATAGAGTGTGGAATCAAGCTGTAATCAATAAATATATCAGCCAATCGAAAGTAAACATGAGACTTGGCGCATGGAAAATAGTATTTCCACGGAATAGTTAGAGGACCAACGAAAGTCAGCAGGGAGTACCGGAGAGCTGTTTTATCCTCCTTCTTTGAGACACTTCAAAAGTGAAATGATACCATGACTCCTAGGTTAATCAAACTCATAACCTTCAGTCTATGAAGCCAGCCCTTTAAATGTTTACTTTATAACCCACCTGAGCATCATATGGATAAGACAATTGTCAAAATTGTTTACCAGGCTTAAAGAATTCATTTCCCTTCTACTTGTAAGAGCCGTTCTCTGAATTATCTGTCTCTTCATCTACGTGCGTTCCTATAGATAGGTAGGTGACTGACGCAGTGCTCATTCTTTGAATCCTTATATCATTCCTAACTACTTCTATTGAGCAATCAGTCAGTTAACCAGTAGTATGTTTGCCATCATACCGTGGTCACACTCAAAAATGTAAGCAACCTTTTGAGTTAAATTGATTTATTCATTTATTCATTTAGTTCATTCGAAAATTTCCAACTATTTACAAGGTAAGCTTTCGATTTTCTTACTACTTTTTTCAATATCCAATCAGTTTAAATGTGCCTGCGACAAAAAATTTGCTTTCAAGAATGCACCTTTATATGTGGAGTATATACGGCTTAAACTATCACCTGCTATGTACTATTACATTTCTTAATGTGTATGTGTTTTGCCTACATCTCACATTATTCATTCTTTGGTTCCCGAAAGGAACATAGCGCTTCAGCCGTAGCACATTTTCATTCCACTCTGCTCTCGGCTATCACTTTCACCTTGCTTCACGAATGACTCCCATAGGCTTACTTTTCTTTACTCTCCTCTTTACGTGATCTCTTCAATCTCTACCCTGAAGTGACTACCCAGCTCCAATATGGGATCAATTAAAGAGCCTTTCTGTTTAGTGTGTCTGTGACAGGTTGCTTGAATGCCTTCTCAGTGTGCATGACCGATTCACTCATCTTCATTTCCTTTTGCATATTCACTGGTTGGTAAACAGATGCTTGATTGATGCCTTCATATAATTTGCCACAAACTATCGATAAACGGTATATTTGGTATATCTGAAATAATATCTTGCTTTCTTTTGACAGTCACATGTGTCAGTGTGATGACAGTAGTATAAGTATTACTCTTTGAAATTATTATTTCGAATTTCGTGACAACTGACAAATTTTATTGTACGGAAACACTGGCCTCTGTTGATATGTTGACTTCTAGATTTGATAAGAACTGAAGGTTAACTTAATGTCATACGATGACTAGCATTGGTACTGTGGATGAGTGTTTCATCCCATTCGAGGCCAGTTGCCTAGCTGCACCTACTTCGTTAGTAAGTGATTATTATCTTATTGAAACTTGTATTCGGCACCCATATTTTCAAATACTAATACGTTATTATGGAGTGTTCCAGTAACACAGCAATTATGGTCTAGGTACATCGAGGTGATAGGTCCCACATAGAACGAGTCTCTCGTTCTGGATTCCACTGCCAGCCACTACGAAAAAAGTAACTTTGAACAATTATTTAACTTGTAAATTGTGCTTCCTAAAATTCTCCAAATTTATGCTCATAAAGTAGTGAACAAAAAATAGCTCAGTCTTACTCGCAGCAGGACCAGATGAAATCCCAGCAGAAGCATTGAAAATGGACTCAGAGACAACAGCGAACTTGATGACGCCATTGCTGGAGAAGGTGTGGTAAGAGGGCAAAGTACCCGGGGATTGGAAGAAAGGATACTTATTCAAACTACCAAAGAAAGGAGACTTAAGTCAATGCAAAAACTGGCGCGGAATTATGCTCCTGTCCATCCCAAGCAAAATACTAAGCCGCATCATCCTGGAGAGAATCAAACAAACAAACCTGGATGAAAAACTTCGACCGGAACAAGCTGGATTCAGGAGAAACAAGTCATGTATTGATCAAATCGCCACTCTACGGATCATCATTGAACAAAGCTTCGAATGGCAGTCACTACTCTATCTCGACTTCATCGACTTTGAAAAGGCCTTCGACAGCGTCGATCGACAGGTGATTTGGAAACTAGTTCGCTACTTCTGGTTGCCATCGACAATTATACATCTCATCCGACAGTTATACGACAATGGTGCATGCCAAGTAATCCACAACGGGAAACTTACGGAGGCCTTCAAAGTGAGGACAAGAGTGAGGCGAGGCTGTCTACTATCGCCAATCATCTTCCTGATTGCAATTGATTGGATAATGCGAAAGACAACGGGCAATGAGGAAACAGGCATAAAATGGACTGACACAAAAGACTTGGAGGATCTGGATTTCGCCGATGTGGTATATATGTCTGATTCCCCACAAACCGGGAGATATGCAAGTGAAAAGTAACAAGTTGGCAGAAGAAGTATCTAGGGAAGATGTGACTTCAGGTGAACATACAGAAAACAGAGGTGATGCAGATTCCTAGCCAACACCAACAGCAACACCAGCTACAGCAACAGACAACAATCAGCATAAATGGGAGGAACCTGAAAGAAACAACCTCCTTCACCTACCTGGGAAGCGTCGTTTCAACTACAGGCTGATGGGACTGACGAGGATACCAAAGCCAGAATCGGAAAAGTAAGACAAGCTTTCATTACTCTCAAGTCTGTGTGGAGGTCAACAGCACTGCTCAGCATCAAAAATAAGATCCGGATTTTCAACTCCCATGTGAAGTCAGTGCTACTATACGGATCAGAGACTTGGCGCGTCTTTAGGAGCATCCCAAACAAACTACAGACCTTCATTAACAGTTGTCTTCGCTCAATACTCAAGATCAGATGGCCGGCCAGAAAAGATCAGCAACAGGGATCTCTGGCATTGAGCGAACCAACCAGGAACCGATTGTGAAACAAATAGGAAGGAAGAAATGGAGATGAATTGGCCATACACTGAGGAAACCATTAAGTGACATCAATAGACGAGGCGTTGCTCGAATGGAACCCTAAATGGAAGCGGGCGGAGAGTTAGTCGTCAGTGTGAGGGTGACTTGGAGGAGGTCATGTGAAGAGGAGATGAAAGCGTGTGGGCAGACTTGGAGCGGGGTGAAAAAGTTGGCAGAAAACCGAACGCAATGGAGACGCGCAGCTGAAGCCCTATGTTCCTCTAGTAATTAAAGGATATAATAATAATATAATAATACTCGCAGCACTAGTACAGTTCAAAATAGTACTAAAACTAATAACTTATTATGGGGTAATAAATAAGTGTCTCTCTCTCATTATCATATTTTGGCGTCACTGTTGCTATTAGTTTACGGCTTTATTTTTTCATCTACCTTTTTATTTACATTGTTATCAATATAGATGTTCCCTGAGCCTCCCCCGCTTTACTATGTAATATATAGAGAGTATTACATGCAGTATTATACCACATGCTGAGAACTCCTTGCTGTATCATAAGTACTGTTTGGAAAAATTATTGTTATTGATCTCTTTTTCTGTTTGTTTCTTCTTCCTCAAGGACTTTCTGCATAGTTTACAAGATCGAGAATATCAGCTGACTGAGCTGTTAAAAATGCATCAAGAATTGATCCAGCGTAATCCACAAATTACTGATTCCCTGCTAGATAGATTGAATACCGAATTTAAAAACCTCCTTAATCAGACCTCTTCTAGAATTCGCCATGTAGAAAAGGAACAGAGCGAGAAGAAGGTAGCTGAAGAGGTGAGTTCTATGGTGCATATAAATATATACATATACGTTACTACGTTGGATTCTGTTTGTACATCATGAATTCTCGAGCAGTGTGTGGCTTGAGACCTTATCAGATATCTTCGAAAATCGTAGTCACTAGCGGACATTTCTGAAGTTAACTTGAAGTAATGATGAGTCATCCTTTGTCTGATCCTCATAAGTGTGCTAGTTTGCTTATGCTTGAATCTGCCCCTCTACCTATTCTAATTGCTGTTTTCCTCCTGTGGGTTCCGGGTGGAACATAAGTCTTCACTGACATTTCGCCATGTCATTGTTCTACAAAGTATTTGTAGTTATCTCCATTTCTCTGTTTTCTCCTTATTATGAACTCGTCGCCAAATTATTGTTATGTACTGGTCGAGAATTTAATAGTCCTGACGCAAGAAAGACGGAAATCAGAAGACCACTAGGTTTGCGATGATACTTCTATATTCCAAACACAGGGAGAATCAAATCACACAAGAGTGTGAGAGCGAAATACATATGAATGTCCAAACAAGTGTGTGAACAATCAATAGACAGTCTTAACATGATTGGCTAATTATAATGGAGTATCGACCCGTATATACATAGCAAAATATAGCAGACATGTCAACAAACACACATATTAAATATAATATAAGGGGAATATGCATTGTTAAAGGAGACAGGTTCATCAAAGTGAAATGGTCACAGACTAAGAGAGCAACAGAAAGAGAGACCACCATATATATATATATATATGGATACATATCACTCCTGCTACTTTGGGATCCATACCCAATGGCTATTTGATATTTAGCATCGAGGCAGAGGAAATAGTTGTCGATGGAAGTCTACAGTAGCATATTCGAAGTATTTACCGTGATGATTCAAGTGAAATCAAAAAGTCACTGAAATAAAAGGCGATTAATGTCAGTAAAAACGTCTGAATTTTATTATATTTTTCTATTATTTCAAATTCAAAGCGTCTACAAGACACAATTGTTTCCGTATCATTTGAGAGGAGTAACTGTGGGGTATCGAAGTTTTACTAAAAAGGATCTATTCTCTGACTTTCGTCAATCAAACAGTGACTTACAGCATGTATAATTACACCCTGATAATTTAATATTGCCTAAATTAGCTGATCGGTTTTCGGTCTTTCAGAGATATTCAGTCTTATTCAAGAACACATCTTACTGAAACTATTACTGTCACAACTCATACGAAGAGTTGCTGCAGCAGATCAGAAATTTCTGAGTACTGGTGATTCTGTCATTAACATGTTATTGGTTTTTCCCTCGACTATTGTGACAGTGTTTACTTAGTAACCTCATGGTCTTGAGTTCAGCATGCGACAAAATCATTACTGTGAAACAATTTGTCTAACTTTCAAGGGGTTCGCACAACGAAATGTACATTAGGATGAATTAAATCATCCATACACACAAGGGAATATACACCTTGACCACTTAAATTAACTAGTCTACAAGTTAATTCCCACCGCTGACCTCCACCGTGCCACCTTAGTTTTTCATTTTCTATTATTTATGTAAAATCTAAATCTTTCCTTTACAGACAATAATAGTGCCTACAATAATACGCACATATACAACGCATCCAAGTGACCAGTATCCTGAGATCAGTGAATATATAATGTACACAAATATGAAATCTTCCAATGCTACCACTACTACAACAACTACTTCTGCTATCATGAACACTTCTAACAATAATATCACAGTTTTATCTGGGACAGAATATGGATTGAGAAATAGCGGTGGTAACAGAGGCATAGCCAGATCACTATGGCCTTATGATCATCGTCGACGTGTAAATTAATCCTACTGCATAGATTGTATATTAGCACTTATGCATTGGTGAACTAATTAACTAACTAACCAATTAACGCTTGGAGATCTGCTTTTTTTTAAAATAACATAACGAAGACAATTTTTCTCATATTATATGTATGTGTTTGCGTATGAGTCTGACGGTTGGTGATAAAAAGATACGTGCGGTGGAGGGAGCAAACGTTTGTGTTCCGTTTACCTTAAATTTCTTAATATTTTTTTTGTCATCAAGGTGGTGAATTCGTCTCACACTTTCACAAAGCTAAAATAATATTCACAGTGTGGTTGATAGATTTCTAGCTTTAAAAGAGTAATTGTCCTCCTTCAATGATGCTACTGATAGAGCTGACTAATGCAGCAGTGGATGGAAACCATGATCAACCAATTATTTTCGATGTCAACAGACTGAAAATTACAATTCAGAGAACCTTAAAGTAACTCTAACTTTCATCTTTTCCTAACCTGACCCCACACACCCCTAATTTTTGTGTAAACTCAACTTAACCAGTTCCCAGCTTAATCCTGGCATTAATCTTTTCCTAACATAACCCTAAATTAACCAGATATCCTGTTTATTATTCTAACAATTCTTCCGTTATTTTTTCTACGAATAAGGTGTCCTTTATCTGGTTTACTAACTTTCTCTGTATGTACATTTCATGGTCATTGATGCGTTCCTTCTTCTGGATCGCTGTTCTCTACCTTGACCAACCTGTGTTTTGGAGTGTGTCAACAACCGAGAATTGAACCCATATCATGTGCGTGTTTGACAAACATTCTACCACTGAGGCAACGACGGAAAACACTGTCACCTAATAGGCCACAATATTGGCGTATCACTGGGGGGGGGGTATCAGAATCGAGGTTAATTCGGCTACAATCCAATGTCTTAATCATTAGATGACAACGACCGCCAGTGAGGCAAATGTAGATTAACTTAATTCTATTACTAACCGCTTTTTCACTAGAGACATCATAAACAGGCACAAATAGTGAGACATTATTACTATTTTTACAGAATGACAAGATTTAAGACACAGTCTATTATTATTGGTCATAATCATATCATCAGTTGTAATCATACACAAATTCGAAGCTTAGTTATCTTATAGTTCACGTCCATTTTCTTGCATATTTCGTAATTATTATCTATTTTGTTCGCTTACGTTCCCAGTGGAACATTTGTTTTCAAGCTGGGGCTTTAAAGTTTCGGTAGCAGTGGTTTCATTTCTGCGGAATGAGGCTGCTAGTCTCACTTCCCAACGTACCATTTTACTAGCCTTATTACCAGTTTATCGGGGCTTAGAAGTGCGTTAATCGGGAATAGAACCCACAACCACCTGCGTGGTTGCCCAGCATTCTGCCGCTGAAGCACCGGCGGTTAAGAATTTCTTCCAGATGTCTTGGTAGACTGGTATGTTCCGTCAACCTTATTGCATGCATTTCCACTCAAATACAAGCTTGGTACAATAACTGGGCACCGAGATATGTGCCATGTATATTGTATATTCAGGGCTATTGTCAAGTGTCAGAGCTGCTTTTCTTATATGTTTTACTTCCTATCGCAGATTTTCTTTTGTACTGGTTAACTGTTTTAATTACCCTGGTAAATCTATCCGGAAGTACACACAGGAAATTAAAGTAATAAAAGTAAAACGAACAATAAAGGCAGCATGACTAGTAAACATTCATTGAAAGAAGACAATATGAAAACAAGGTAGGGAGTTAAAGCGCAAGAGGGAACCATTAAATTCTTAACAAAACCAGAATAAAAGCGGTATTCAATTATCTGAACATATCTGAAAACTCTTATGGAAACAAAATAATTTCTGTTACAAGATCCCGTACAGCCAAGTAAAAAGCTAATAATTTAGTTAGTCTAATAGCCTGCAATGACTGTGAGGTCAAAACACATAGGTCAAAGTAATCGGTTGTTAGAAAAGTTAGACTAGAGCAGCACAAAAACCCAACAAAATCAAGACTTGTATACCACACAGTGGTAAGGACTCTCGCCGACCATGCACATGGTCCGGGGTTCGAGCCAAAGCCAGCGCACACCTGATATCTATGGTCGGCCTGCAAAATTTGGGCTACCGATATCCATGCTGCAAATTCCATGCTTGTACCAGAAATAGAGTGTGGCATCAAGATGTAAATAAAATATAAAAAAAGATAAGAAATCTAGGAAAGTGCTCAGACATACTACTACATACAGTTACATTCAACCACACACACAATAGCATGGAACAAAATGACAGTTTTAAAATATAATATAACAGGGTGGATAGAGATTGATAATTGAGACTTTAGTGATAGAATGAGCTGAGAATACGTGAAATAAAAATAATTCAACACATCCGTGTACCTGCGAATTAAGAAAATTGTACTACTACATGTCGGAAGAATGTCAATGTAGAACGAGATGTACAGAAGAAAGTCAATTTTCGAGACTGCGTACACTCACAAATGATAATAAAATCATGAAGAATAGTAAATTATGCTCAAAATGTCGTTAGCCATGTCTAATAATCGTAATATTATTTCACTCTGTAATACATTCAATAACCAAATTAATATGGAATAACATACTACAACAGTGTCCACGTTTTACACACACCCATATATGTATATATACATAGTGCGTCAGTAGTTTGGCGGTAAAATGCTCGCCAACCATGCATTTGGTCCAGGGTTCGATTCGCGGACAGCGTACACCTTTACCTCCTTTAGTCGGTTGTAACCCTGACAAAGTAGGAAGGTTGAGTGTGGGCGTAGCAACCCCATCCCCTAAAAACCACTGCTACTGAAACTTCAAAGCTCTACATTGAAGCCTTATGTTCCACTCGGAACGCAAAAGGAGTTAAATAAATTAAATAATATTATATCATATACATACACATATATCAGTTAGTTTGTATCTAGTTTGCTTTTAATTTTCTCTGCGAACTCAGTTTGTTTTTTGATTTATTCTCTAAGTTTTCACTAATCTTTTCTATTTTGTTCCCATTTCTGTCTAACAACCCAATTTTCACTTATAGTCTCATTCATCAGAATATCGTGGAAGAATACCAATTTTACCAGAGAAGGCAGAGTCATTAGTCCAACAATCGGCTAAAACATTAAGACATACACAACTATTGAATGAGTTAGCCAGATCAGTGCGTCAGTTAAAGCATGAAGTTATCGATGGTGAGATGGATGCACAAAGAAGGTAAGTCCAGATGACTAAACCTGATGTGATGTTTGTACATATTTCAAATCATTTGAATGGTTGTCGCTGCTGGCAGTGAAACCCTAAATGTAACTCATCACCTGAATGTACCTTCATCCTCAGTTAAATGGGTAACAGTGCTCCTACTGAGATTCTAACTCACCAGTTATGCGTATTTGGTCACAAGCAACACCTCCTGTATAACCAGTATCAAATATTGTTTGTTTTACTTTGTTCTCTCCGTTGATTGATCTGAACTGAAGTACAGTGTTAACATGTCGGCAGCATATAGTGTGGATGCTCCGACCATGTCTGAAGATGAACATGATGTATTCACGAAATAGGCATTGAGCAGACCCTTTGAGATACATTATTCATAAGATAGGCCCTCAAAAGGAACCAAAACGGGGTGTCATACATGAGGCATGAGTCCGAGGATGCTATTAAAGGAGGGGATGAAGTGAAGGCCATCGGGCAATCATGGAGACAAGTAAAGTAATATGGTGGAAAAAAGACTGAACTGGCAATATGGCCTAGCTGGAAATTTGAGTCCCAAGCGATGAATAATAAAGTCAATTAACAATACTAATTAGTAATTGTTTTCATTAATCTTCAAGAAAATTATAAGTCTTACATAAGTTTCTCTTCATCCTCACAATTCTTGCATTTATTTTTTTCCCGGTTTGTTGTTTTCGCGATGCCTGCCATCGTACGGTGTGATATGGGTAAATTCTGTGCTGTTGTTGATGTTGTGGTACTTGTTGTTTTCAATGTTTCAATTACACTATTCTTTAAATCGACACAAATAAATCAATAAATAAATGTAGTACATTTGTGTTAAAAAGGCATATCAAAATGCTGGCTGCTAATCAGCATTACCATGATTGTTGACTTTCGTTATCCAGTGACTTTCGAACCTTATGATTTTTGTTGTCGTCATCATGGTTGTCATTACGACGGTTAGCATGTTAACTATTTGAATACTCCCAATATATACATATATGCATGCACACTTACTTGGTATATGTATATACATTTCGCATAAACCCCCCGTTTTTCGTACAAAGGAAGAATTTAAATATTTATTGGTTTAATCAATGTGCAACTTAACGTTCTGCTCTTTTTTGTCTTAAATCGAAAAAAAATTAGTTATTCAGTTGGTCGACATGATGAAATTAGTAATTCTTCGTGTGCTCCAGTCACTTCTGCTAATCAGCTGTCTTTAAAATCATCAGCTAATACTACCTTACAACAGACAATATCAACTGAATCAATTCGACGAAATTTCCCGCCATCTGATTATTATCCAATAATACATTTAAGCAAACAGTCAAACAGTATTAATAACATTAGTAGCAGTAGTAGGATTAGTAAGGCCCGCCCACAATCATCAATGGACTATACACCCGTTTGGTGTTTGGATGATACAAAACAGCCAGGAAATCGACTAGTAAATCAGTCAAAAGATGCAACTGTGTCATGTTATCATACAGATGGTTGTCAACAGTATTCTGCTTCTTCTCTTCGTAAGCCTTCTGCATATCAGATACCATGGAAAGAGGAAATATCCATTGAAAAGTAAGTTTGATGTTCAAGACATACTTTTAGTTATTTCCAATGATAACTGATATAATAAGGTGTTTGGTTAGTTGTGGCTAGCAGTATCAGCCAGAATTCCTATTTCTTCCCATTTCAGACGCCAAAGCGTTATATATTAGGCCACTTGGATCGACTGGTGCTTGGACCAAGTCTCAGTGGGGATTGTAGGCACATTCAGGTGATGAGTTCTTGATAGGATGAAATGTGCATCATTCATTCCCCTGTTAGTCACCATACACCAAATTACATTATTTTAATCCTTAGGAACCGTCGAAGCCTCCTTGTTAGAAGCCAACCATCAGTCGACTATAATTGATCAACTGATAGTTGATCAGTATTGTCTACGTTTCAATAAGGTGAATTGTAGACTCTCTGAAAGTTTTCATGGGTGAATAAAGATACGTAGCTATGCATGCAGAAGCATTATCCTTATTCATTGAGCAACGTGCTGGATTTGGAAAGAGAATTAGTGGTGGTCAAATCCAAAAGAATTAGAAGAATTCATGAAATGTTTGACTGTTGGTTTGAGCCAACCGAGATGGGAATTGTAGAGTGTCTGGCTGGTTAGGGTCATTGAGAGACTGTCATTACGGATATGATTGAGAACCATTTTCAATGGCATAGATGTATTTATTCTTTGTAATCTCTCACATTCATTATATCCTCATTATTTTCAGTGTACTTGTTCGCTATCCTACACACTTCTGTTCCCTATAACTCCCTCTAATTTCTTTTTTCTCTACCTAAATTTGCACATTTGTGAAGTTTGATCACTTAAATAGTTCCCCCATCTGTACAGATGTCCATATACTACGGTGAAAATATTGAGTTCAACTGAATTTTTGTGAAATATCTCCAAAAGATTTCTACTAGTGTAAAACTGTTTAAGTATACACACTTCTCATAATATCACTGAACTTTTGAATTATATTCGATGGATTAAAAAATACTATTGAGGCAAATTTATGTTATTTTCATCTCTATAACGCTTCGAGTGGGGAACATATGGTTTCAAGCTTTTTGGGGGAGTTTCAGCGGCTGTAGTGTTGATTTTACCGTCCTTATGCACACAAGCTTCTTTCTTTTACGCGTTTGTTACTGGCTAGTACACTGGATGAGGTTTAGGTGTGCATAAAAGGTTAAGAATCGAGATCTGACCACGTGAGTACGTGGTTATTGAGCATTCTACTATGGGATCACCGCACTTGTCTGCAGCATCAGAATCATAATTTACAATTTCCGGTTTTTCCTTTCTTTCATTTTCATCAAAAAACTCCACAGACCATCAATTTATCCATACAGTAGTCCAACTGATAAGTCAATCTCATTTACTAAATTACATAACTCTGGAAAATCAAATACTCGTCTCCCACAATCAAATGAATCTCTGTCAAGGAGTATGTACACCCCAAATAATTCTAGAAGGAAAGTAGTCGCATCTGCGATACAGTCTACTGCATATTTGCCTATTTCTTGAAGTTTAAATGACAACTCTTTGTCAAGACGTAAAACATGACCTTCAAGTTATATGAAGTAAGTGAATATATGATTTGTTCTAAGCCACTTATGTAACTTAAGCCTTGAAGTATCTGATTACAAGAGGAATATACGTAATTTGAGTCTAAGATGGCATCCGTTCTATCTAGACTTTGTAATTATTAACGCTTACCAGGGAGGGACATTTGCTATCCTGAATGCTAGCGAGCATTCTACCACTAAACTACCAACGCACAAAGAATATTACCGCTGAGGTATGATTTCTCCAGATTGGTGACACCTAGTTCCAGTGCTTCCCACCGATTGAATCCAAACACCAATATTAAGTGCACCTTAGTGACAGGACCATTATGCTCAGTGACCACGTTGTAGACTTCAATCATTGTCAGTTCAGTCGGCACCAACTCAAAAGATTGAATATTGTTTACTCCGTAGTGACTAACCAATGTATTCATTACAGTACCACAGTAAATAATTCATTCTTGAGCACAAGTGCTTCAGTGCTAGTATATCTGATCGCAGCACATTAGATGACGGAGAATAGAATCTCTCAGAAGAGATATCAGTTGTATTTAAAAAAGCCTGCACGCTTTGCTGATGAGTGTCGATAAGCATGAAACCAGCTGATTGCCTGCGATCATCTAACATCAGAGTTGCATTAAAATACTAAACAAAAGCGAAAATGATTGGACAGATCTCAAATGCAACAAAAAAGTGAATAGTTCTGAAGCAGAGATCGAGAATAGTAATCTAATCCTTCTTAAATGTTTCACACTATTCATCACAGACCGTTTCAGATACTTCATCTCACACCTTAATCTAAATTAAACTCATCTAGTTAACATTATCATCATTATTATGCGTCATTTGGGTTTCAACTGGCAGCCAGCTATTCATCAATGTATTCTCTTCTATGGCGTCTATTTTAGCTGAATCTACAACTGCCCACAAGATATTGATCCCTCTTTACGTGATATCCTCCATGTTACCCTAAGCATAACTCCCAAGTGGATTCCATCGAGGACTTGAGGTGTGATATTACTCAACAGTCTCTCCACTGTATGTCATTTCAACTCAATTTCACCGTTAGAGTGACTTTCTTGTTGCTTATCTCTTCTCGTCCACTATTGATTTATAATTTGGAGGCAGCAAACGTGATAGGTGTTGATAAAATCCACCGATAACCTGTTGGGATTTCTATAAAACAACACTCGGCTTAGGTCTTTTAACCATATAGAAGCACCGAGTTATTTGATCTAAGTGTTGAAAATTAAAATTTTGTTCTGTATGCTAAGTACTGAGGTGTCTTCTGGAGTCCTGAACAGACTAAGCTTATTCTTCTGTACTCTGAAGTTTGCATACCGATAATGCGTCGGATATGCTCAGTCGAGTTATTGGGTCCATGTCTTAATTTCCCTCTTTTTCGGGCTTTATACTAGCTAATAAACCAGGCTAGGTTAATCACTCTTTTATTGGCAGTACTTTCATCACCCATCTTTTAACACACAGCTTTGCAAGTAAGCAAGATTATTTTATTTTAGATACTTATCAAGCGGAAGTGATTCACTGCACAGCTTATCAGCTGAACATTTGCTCGTTTCCTATGTATTTAGCAGTTTTCGTAACTACTGCTTGTTCAGAACTCAAAACGAGGCGTTGAAATCTTAACACCATCCAAGTTTCCAATCCACCTGCTATTCAGAGTTGAACCCTAAGTCTTGTGTTATGTCATTCACTAATTAAAACTGCCATAAATATATTACAGAAAGAATGCAACTTACATTTGAAACCCGATTTCTCCACAGACCGGTATCAAGCAGTTAGCACTGGCCAGGCAGTTTAACCACCTGGAAATCTCCTCCTCCTCGACGAGGAAAATGATCGCTTGCCATGTGCACCACATATCCTGAACATGACGACCTACACAGCTTCACAAACTCATCTATGAATTCTCGTCTACTGCTTAACACTCACTCGACGCTTTACCTCTAAACTATCACTAACCACATTACACCAATAAGTAAAAATAATAAAATTCAATGAACAGTTGCTTTGTATCCCCTCAGTTTTGGGACTCTGTTCAATACAGCTCACCTGATCCTCTAGGTGAGTTAGATTTGTTGCTCTTAGGCTGTTATCGTTTATTTACATTTCTTTCCGCCTTTGCTTTTTTCGAATTTTTCAGCCATAATTCAAATAAAACAATCCTGTCGAATTTCTAATGTCTAAAAAAATCTATTATTACTACTAATTAATGATTACACTGAAATCGAATGTCGCCTTTCATCATAAACTGACTAGTTTTCATGTGCTTCCAATCATTCCCTGTCTCAAACTGATGACGCTGTAACACTTTTTTGCTAATGAATATCCGTTTAATTAGATCGTGTGTTCTTACTTTTATTTTTCGTGTTGTTTTTTTTCTGGGCCTACCTACCTACTGACCGAATGAAAACTGTTGTTTCTATGCTGTAATGAAAGGTAGATCAATCAATCTACTTATACAAAAACACACACACAGACAATCAACATGTCTCTGTATGACACAAGCAGTACAATATACTCAAATGTCTCTTAGACACTTAATATACATAATATATCATTATCACACACAAATACACGTGTCACAGGTATATGTGGTTATGGATGAGCTGGGAGTTAAGTAATATTTCTTGTATGATGTAACTTTCTTCCACTTGTTAAAACCTCTTTGTTTTCATTTCAAAACATAACACACACAGAAATTAATACTCGTCTTTATTCTGTTGAAATGCTTCTGTTATCTTAATTGTGTTGACGCTTAATAAAACACAAGGACACACACACAGAAACATTCACAAGACGAACAGAAAGACGGAGTAAGGAGATTCAAAGGATTGTACAATTCACGTATTGTTATTATTAATATTATTGCGTAGATGAAATAAGGCAGTTTATCTCTTTTTCCTGCTTGGTAAATTGAAATAAATAAAAATATACATATATTTTTCGGTATGCTTAAATTTACTTAAATTCTTACATTGGCGTACTGTTGAAGAGTCCAAAAGTATGACGCAAAAGCCGCTGGCTTTCCAATGGTTGTCTAACTGATAACAAATCGTGATTAAACCTGTAACTAACCAATCACCTCAGGCCAACACCTGATAATTATTCTGACGCTCACTAATAGTTGGTACTATGCAGCAAGTAACCCGGAGTTTCAGTGAGAAGGTTTGACCAGCTCAAGTTAGGCAAAAGAATACTTATTCACCAGTGATATTAAAGGAATGTTGCCCTGGATACGTGTAATTGTTAAATATAACATCTATCGTTACTAAGAAGAAAACTGCATCGAAGAAAATTTTCTTTTCGACGAAGTCATCATCTAGGCTGTACATTCGTGTATTTATAACAAATGGGTAGGAAAGTTCCAGAACAATTTCCGGTTAATGGTCAAATTAATAAAAATTACAATTAGGAATTAGAATTCCATAATAAACAGGGGAACAGATTAAACAAACAAAGTAGCATCATAATAACTAGGAAGATTGACATTGTGCAATTAGGGGTTACAAATGTAGAAATAAGAAAATAGACAGGATGGGATCATAACTAATGTGATGAATAATTGTTTATGCAATCTGGGATTAAATATGTAGAAATAATAAAATGACGAAACAGGCAGGAAGTTTGGATATGAAGGTGTGGTAGTGTAAATAGGGATTAAGGAAAACGTAAAAGTAACATGAATAAACAGGAATTTTGGAAAGAAGAGGTAGTGGAATGGTCATTATTGAAAGTATTATCTGTTTATGATGTCCGTGGCAGGGATAAGGGTTGGACGTATTTATTTTGGATACGTAGTGTCGGTTTGAGTTTTCGGATGGCTAGTGACTCGGCTATGTCTAGATATCTTGATTTCACTCCCTTTGATAGGTTTGATCGAACCTTGTAAATGGTTTTGAAGGATTTTTCGAAAGGCGGTGAATGTTCCCAGTTGACCAAATGTTCTGTCACTGAACTACGTACACATTTTTATCCTCCTTTCTTTCTCTCTCTCGGAAGTAAACGAAATTAGCTGAACATGAATCTGCCATGTGTTTGCATGTGCTTGCACAAATAGTCTTGATGACATAGTAAGGCCTTAACAGTTTGCATATTTCAGAGATTCTCTCGAAACTTGCTTATAATCCTCAAATATTGGAAAACATAAGAAGTCTATTTGTGCAATCAGCATTATGAATTGAAAAATTAGCTATACACCGCTAATACCTTCACTTCCATGATAAGTCAGTCTCCTTATCATTAAAAGAATTGTTACATTCATTTTGTGCACTAATATTTAAAAATATCTTTCGTGACTGCATGCTCTGTCAGTCTTTACGTATGTTTCAGGTTTTTAGGGATGTGTAAGTTGTCGTGTATGAAATCTACGAAATTGTCAGTCGGTTGAACCAACGTTAAAACTCTTCGTCGGAATTGTCGTTGTAATTCAATGAAGTGTGCAATATACTCTTGTTGCCTACTTCTTCTCGACCTCGTAAACACGTCCGATTACTAAGTGCAGCTGTAACGTACGTGGTTGGATTAATGCAGATTAGGCTTGCCCACTTACTTACTTGCTTACTTGATTTATTCATACAAATAATTTCGTATCTGTTTCTACACAATAGTACATTGTCAAAACTTAATAAGATTTAGCAAGTTGCTGTTCGATACTCTTAAGTAGCCACCGTATTTGGCCAGTCGCACATCCGAATACTGACTGCTACACCACCAAAACTCGCTTGCTTCATTTCCTACGAATAAACAAAATAACTCAAGATTTATCCGTTAATGTGAAACGTCATCATCAGATGTAGACTGTTCACTTGATAATTAGCTAAGCAACAGTTTTCTTTTCATTCTTATATCCTGTTGAATCACCTGACCATTATTCTAGAGTATTTTGTACACAAATTGCAGACCGGGAAGAGGAATTTCTCCAGAACAATAGTCTTTGCTCCAACCTTCTTTTGTCTCCTAATTGTATGAAGGCGAATTTCGCTATATTCATATTCACCTGTATTCATCATCTTTATGATTACTAAGCGTAGTATTTCAATATTTGCCATATGGATATTAAAATGCTTACGGTTATAGACAGCTAACAAGAAGTAATAAACTCTAGTGACACCCTCCTATCCTTCTAGATGAGTTCATCCTGCTTCAATCATGAAAGTTATATCTTTTGTAGGAGAAATCCCCCCCTTAAGTGTACACCACATGTAAGCGTAGTGTATATGTATGTGCATATGAGTAGAGTATGCTGCTGATCAAAGTTAACGCTTGTACTGTACAGAGGATTTATTCAACTATTAATTCACTGGGGAAGTCTGATGATAACATTTCCGTCGTATAATGGCATGCACAAATTGAAAACATCTTTTGCGTTGTAAATGATTCCACAGAAGATGGCAATAAGTGCACACGGAATAACCCTAAGCACCTATCGTCAACTGTGAATCAATAGTGGTCTCACATAATTCAATGCTTATTATTTTTCCTTCACGTTCCCAGCTTCAAGCTGGTGGCTTAAAGTTTCTGTAACAGCGTTTAATTATACAGGACGGGGTTGCCAGCCTCATGCCCAACCGTTTCTCTTTACCAGCATTATTCCTGGCTAAGTGGGGTAAAGGAGTGAGTCGGTAGGGGATCGAACCCCGTACCATGTGCATGGTCAGCGAGTGTCCTAGCCACTGTGACACCGACGCACAAATGCCTATAAGTCTATATAAAATGTATTCAAGAACTATGATTTGACCATTCATACGCTATTCAGTCCTATGACGCATTACCTAAAACTATGTCGCTACTTTAAAATAGTTTCTGCTGAAGGTAAGCTTAGACAATTAGCTATTACACTGCACCGAAACAATTAGCCTATCTTCCACCCAGTTGCAGAATTTTAAGACATACCAATGAAATCAAATATGTGGTGACCCTAAACAGGGCCGTTCTGCGTTCTCAGTGAAGTTCTACTTTCCCCTCTTTCCTTCCTCCGATCAGTTGTAAGAAGACAAGAAAAATGAAGATATGTATGCCAAATAATCTAGATTTGCTGATCTGACAAGGCATTTACAAAACCTTGGCTTCAACTTCCAGAAATTTCATTTCCAAATGCATTATTTCGCGTTACCGGTGTGGCTGTTATCGAAGACTGTGGACTTCTGCTAGAAAGTTCCATTACCGACAGTTCTTCAAAACGCAGTTAACTGGGACTTCTTGGTATATTTCAATTCGCTTGTCAGAACCAATCGAAATAAGCAATTTGTCTTTCGCTCGAATAATAACCAACTTCTCAACTTGTTGTAACCACGAAAATCCATCGATTGTAGAAAATCACAATCTGGAAGGTTATCATTGCCGACTGAAGTCTGGTCTTCAAATACACTAGTTCGCACACACCCAGTACATCATTGTATGTCGTCCGCTCTCTAAACCCTTTTCCAGCATATCCAAATCCAATGACCTCTTCGGATTATGATGAAGTAGCTAACATTGGGTTTACTACAGTCAATTTTAGTTCATTTAATTCACGACTTCTCGCATTCTTCATTAAATATTCATGACTTCGATGGTACAGTGATTGTGAATCGTATGTACAGATGAATTTATTGAACTGATAACAAATGCGTATCACTGACTGGCAATCAATGTATTCAGATCTGGTAGGTTAAGCACTAGCAACAATAGATGACACTTACCAGCTAAGATATTTCTCATTGCTTTCTGACTATTTTTGTGTTTCCAAATGTGTATTCAAGCACCACATATACTTTAAATGTTGCTCGCACTTGTCTAATCTACATTCTGTCACAACATATCGAGTGCCTCTTATCTGAATACAAACAAATTATCGCTATACTCACCTTCGGGAAAAATTTCAAAGCTTCTTCAACTTTAGCCCAAGTTCGAGGTTCTCTGAGTTTAATATGTACTTCGAAAGCCTTGCTAATAGTAACTCTGATAGGGCTCTCTTCAACACATCGGCTTTCACATGGTGGCATGCTACACACATCAACAAGGGCGACATTGTATTCTCAAATCTCTCAAAATTAAGTAACCACTTGAACCAGCAACAATAACACCAACCAACAACTACGAACAACAACTTATACCACCAAAGCTTTCACGTTAACAGTATTCCGTTAGTAGCTAAAATATACATAACTAAAGCATTGCACAAACCATCAAAGCAACGTATGAAACAATTACAATGAAATAATTAATGGACTGCAGATTAACACTAGCTTCTCAAGCATCCCTCGAACACACTTTTATGCTCTCTGCAGATACTTCTTTGTTCAGCAGAACTTCGGTTATAGCTGCA